TCTTCGGAGGGGGTTGGGGGGTATTTATAGCCCCAAGTGCTGACATGTATCTGCACATGTAAGCCTCTCATTGGCCCACGTGGTGCTGCCCACGTGGGTATGTCTCCTCCTCTTGGGCCTGTGGGTGCGTAGTTGGGCCTGTTGCGTGTGGCCCTAGGAGGGCGTTGGGCCTAATCCCAACATTACTCCCCCCTCGGTGTTCGGTTGACGAACTGGGTTGGATGTGACCATGGGTCAACGTTCTAGCCGGTGACTATGACGGGCAGCTTTAACAGCTTACTGCCGACCTTGGCGATGGCCGAGCTGAGAGCTAACACGAAAGCGTAGGGGCGAGCTGACATCCTTAGCCGCACTAGCGTGGGCTTGTGATGGCAGCAAGCTAAAGTGATTCGCAACAGACGAGCTCGCACAGGGACCAAACATGTATATAACGCCATTTCAGCTCGTCCATGTGGCGACCTGACCTTTGAGTATTACCGAAGTGCGACCAGGCGACGCCCAGTTAGCTATGATCATGAGGTGAGGCTACGCGACCTCAGATGCAGTGGGACTTGAGGTTTTTGACCACCACTTTATCAGCTCGCACGAGTAGTGCTGTCAGATAAGGCGACCTCAGGCACCCATTGATTTAAGCAGAGGTTTGTGGCCTGGTGTGAGTTGCAATCCGTGTAACGACCTGGCAAATGTGGTTGTCGTCACGATATGTGACGAGCTGAATCTTAGGGGGATTTTAGCATACGATCTACACTTGTGAACGAATTGGCACGGTTGAGCCGATCTGGCGAATATGTCATCTTTGTAACGACCTGGTAAGTATGGTCACAATAGCAAGCTGGTGTGATAGTATAGGGTACACATCAGCAGTTACGATCTGAATCTTGGGATTTTTTGAGTCAAGCAAATCTCTGAGGAGATACGATTGAACTTCCCATATCTCTTGCCTTCCCCGTCATAAATGCTGGCTCAGCATTTGAGGGACGTGACAGCTAAAGTCAGCGCACGTTATGCAGGAGGGGCGTTAAGCGCCTGCCACGTGTGGGACGCTAGTTGGCGCGTCAGAAACATGCGTACGGCAATTAACAGTACCATATCCTTCTCTGCGTAACCGTTTCCTCTTTCATTTTCATTTCTGTGTTTGCTTAAACTTTCCAAAATTCTCTGAAGCAAAAACGCTCCAGCTTGAAGAATCAGCACACCAAATCAACTTTGCATCATTTTTAGGTAAAATGGTTTCATTGAGAGAGCTTACAGAGCAACGAGGTAACCAGGGTAGAGAGGGAGAAGAGGAAGGGGTTTTGTCAGTAGAGCCTATCACAATAATAGTGCCGCCGGAGTTGCAGGATGTGCCAGAAACAATGGCGTCTGAGAGCAGCACCAGTTCCAGCACCAGTGACAATGGTGGCGACCACCCTAGTGCGCCGTTGAGCAGCTCGTCCGAGGGGACACCAGGCCGCGAGGAGGGGGCAGGGGATGTAGCGAGCCATGTTTCAGATCGGCCTGTAATGGAAGAATGGGAGAGCAGAACCATCACGGGCAGGTTGGACAACCTGCGAAAGGCGCCAAAGGACCTGCCCGCCGGATTTAGGTTCCGGGCCGCGCTTCATCATGAAGTAGCAGACTGCACGCCCTCAATCAGCGGGTACAGAAAATTGGAGGATATGGTGAGGGCGTATCATATTCCCCGGACAATACCGTTACGAACAGGCGCACCAAATGAGAGGGCTTGCACAGTGTCACAGACTGGTTGGATCCCAGTGTATGTGGACCACTTTGACGCCGGCCTACGGTTTCCCCTGCCCGGATTGGTGTACGACCTGCTGGCGGATTACGAGCTGGTGCTGACGCAGCTGACGCCCAACAGCATAAGGTTCATCATTGGCTTTATGCTGTTGTGTGAACGATTAGAAGTATCGGCCAAGGCGATCGTGTTCAGGTCGCTATTTCAATGCCGGCTGTGTCTGAACTCAAGAGGAGCGAAGTGGTACTACCTATCTGGGAGGGATAAGAGCTAGCTTTTCAAAAATGTGAGGAACAAGGTGGCGAGGTGGAAGAGACAGTTTATTTTTGTTCGCGACACACGAGTAGAAAGGATAAGCAACGACCTCGCTGCCCGGTTGTCTGAGTGGCGCACCCCCAACGCTCATATCAACTATCCTCAACTGCTACCCCGGGATGTAGACCTGAAGAACCAGCTGCTTGAGTATGCGCAGAGGGAGGGTCTAATAGATCTAGAAGTCCTGGTTACCTCGGAGCAACTCGCCGTGTTCGGGTTTGTCGACGTGGCAAACCTGTTCACAGAAGGTATACTTTTATTAAATGGTACTAATTCTAGCCGGGCTGAGTCTTATACGTTTTTTTGTGCAGGAGAAATGAGCAACATCTTAGAACGCCAACGTCAGCAAGCCCAGAGTTCACGAGGCCGCGGGGCGAGCAGCAGGCAACCCAAGCAAACGCGGTTTGACGAGCGACCGCCGGCCGCGCCTCAATTGCGCAACTCGTCCCATCGAGGATCCAGCTTAGCCTCTAGGCCGCGGGCTGAGCATAGGGCTGAGGTTGCAGCCCCGAGTGCATGCAGACGTGCACGCGAGGAGATGGAGAGCGAGGAAGATGAGGTCCCCCTTGCTCGACGTAGAACAAGCAGGGGGACCCAGCCCGCACAGGCGGTTCGACCTGCAGCTTCTAACGCGCCAGCAACAACTGCGCGGGCGGCAGTCGAGCTTGCTTCCACGTCGGCCTCAGTGTCGGGCCCTAGGATCGCCTATCCTGAGGGCTTCAGCTATATAAGGGCGGAGTGCCAGCCCGCCATGGTGCAAGGCATGCACAGCTTTGTGCCCCCCATGGACAGTAAGCGGGCCAAAGCTTTTGTGCAACAGCATGGCGGCCAGGTCGCCATGATAAAACTAATGGATGTAAGTATTTGCTCGTGTCTGCTTTTGTGTTTCACTTTTCCCTTTTAGAGACTAATGGTGACCACTGTTTGGCAGGCGTTCAGCTACGCAGTAGCACTGTATGAGAGCGAGCAGGGGACTCGTACAGAGAACCGCGAGCTCGGTTCAAAGTGCAAGCAGCTGGCCGCAGAGAAGGCTAGCCTTGTGGACGATGTGAATCGTCTGCAAGGCTCTGAAATGGCGAACCGAGCTGCTGCAGCGGAGAGCCGAGCTGAAGAGCTCGCAAATAAGATCAATGAGCTCAAGGAGGAGCTTGAGCAAGCCCGTGCTGAGAGGGAAAGCGGGATTCAAGCGGCGAAGGATGAGGCCGCCCGGGTTGAGGAGCGAGCCAAGAGGGTCGAGGATGAAAGGGACCGTGCTCAGAACGAACTGGGTTCCCTGAAGTTCCAGGTCGCTGAGGCTGACAAGAACCTCAGCGCTACCGAAGAGGCTCTGAACGAACTGAAGGCCTCTCATGCGCGCTCAGTCGGTATTGCTCGAGCCCAAGGAGCAGAATGGCTGGTCGGCTCATCCACGTTTCAAGATGCAGTGGCGATGGCGTCTGCGAACATGACCACGGAGATCTATAACGAGATCCGTGGTAAGGTGCTGCACCACCGCCCTGACTTCCCCATCCGCGAGCTGGCATTCTTCGATGGGGAAGATATCGACGAGCAGGGTAAGAGCCTTGCTCCCCTGGCTGACACAACGGTGTGGTTGAGATGGGATCTCAACGAGGAGGGACTTCCCGTTTGGCCTCCCTCTGTTTTAGAATAGAGGGATGACCCAACGGGGTTGCCTTCCTTTGATGGATGGGTGGAAGGGGCTCCTGTTGCTGAGCAGGAGCCATCCAGTACTCCACCAGACTCTCAGCCCGCCGTGGTGCCAGCTCGATCTCCCGTTACGGCACCAGCTTCTGAGGTCGCTGTTCGCTCACCACCAGATCGCTCATTTCCGCCTGTGGCTGACGCGTCTATGCCCGTCGATTTGACGGATGACTAGGCTTAGGACTTTTTTCTTTTATTCCTTTGTATTTTCTTTTGCATTTTTGTATTTGATCAATGGATTCATAGCATATGTACCTTGAATGTAAACATCTTTGATGAAATACAAAAATGAGTTTTCCTTTGAATTTGTGTTGTATTTTCGGTATATTGTTGTTTACAACTGTGGAATAACAACTTGGACAAAAGAATAATATACAGATTAACTGTAAAATTTTCTAAGATTCTGTATGTTCCAAATGTAAGGCAACTGATGTCCCTGCATATCTGTTAACACGTAGGAGCCAGGTCGTTTAACTTGAACAACCATATAGGGGCCTTCCCAATTAGGAGCGAGCTTGCCCATGTGCGAATGAGTGTTAGTCAATCCAGCTTTGCGTAGAACCAGATCGCCGACTTGAAACTGGCGAGCTCGAACCCTTTTATTGTAAAATTTTGCAACACGACTTTGATGCGCAATGTTTTTTATTCTAGACATCTCCCTGACCTCTTCCACGAAGTCTAGGTTTTCTCTCAATAGTTGCTCATTGTTGAGATCGTCACGCCAGCCTGCTCGTTCAGATGGTAATCCAACCTCTACTGGGATGACGGCCTCAGCTCCATAGGCCAGGCTGAAAGGGGTTTCGCCCGTGGCCGAGCTGGGTGTAGTACGACAAGACCAAAGTACTTTATTAAGCTCGTCCACCCAATTAGAATGTGCAGCCAAAACACGTATTTTGAGGCCTCGCAAAACAATTTTATTGGCGAACTCGGCTTGCCCATTGGACTGTGGAGTGTATACAGACGTCAAGGCGAGCTTAATGCCATAATCGTTACAAAACGATCTCAACGCCGCTGCTTGGAATTGTGGCCTGTTGTCGACGATAATCCGCTTAGGTATGCCAAACCTGCACACAAATAACCGAGCTGAGCTAAGGCGGCATTTGCATACATTTTATTTACGATCTAAGTCACCAAAGAATACTTGCACAATATAGAATTGAACAAGAATTCTTCTATTTTCCTTTCTGTTGTCGTGGATAATGGTTTAGCTTCTATCCACTTAGTGAAGTAGTCCACTGCAACGACCAGGAAAGTGCAGCCTCCTTTGCCTTTGATGAAAGGGCCGAGCAGGTCGACGCCCCATTGAGCAAAAGGCCAGGGAGACGTAAGAGATTATAGCATTTCCCCTGTTTCAAGGAAGGTACTCATGCTCAGTTCATAGACAGTCATTAAGTTAGCATGAACTATAGAACGAGCTCGGATACCTGGCATGTGAATAGGTTAAATACCCTTTTTGGTCCCTCTACTATAGGAAAAAGCCCCTTTTTGATCCCTGTACCGAAAAAATCCCTTTTTTGGTCCTTACTGTTCACAAATCCGGCCCCTTTTTGGTCCCTCCGTTAATTTTTGCTCACATGGCACGTTAACTTAACGGGAACAGCTGATGTGGACTTAATGATACCCTCCACGTCACCCTCCATGTGCCGGAAAAAGAAAAAGAAAAGGTTAAATGCTAAATTTGATCCCTCAACTTTATAAGTTTGCATTTTTTTGATCCTTAGATTATTCTTTTCACTTTTTTTATCTTTTAATTCTAAAAATTACACAATTTTGATTCTTTTATCAATTAAACAAGACGTGATAATTAAATAATTTCATTTGACATTTTCTTTTAATTTTTTTAATGACATGCCAATTATATATATTATAATTATTTTAGATAGATAAATAAAAATATCACGTAGATAAACATTTATATTTTAATTAAAAAATAAAATTACATTATTACCCTCAACTC